GATCAGCAGGCTTCTCTCTAGGCAAGCAGCAGCGGTGGCAACAGCCAGTCTTCTGTAACAAATCATGCTGATTTATGATGTTTGTTGGTGATCCAAGGGTACATATTATATATCATTTTGGATATTGAGTTCAACATGTATTACATTTTGGATATTGATTTGGTAATGACTTTGACATTAAGACATGTTTTTGACTTTATGGGTTAAAATAGCCTATTAACGCTTAGAAGACAGGTGACCTAAAAATCGGCCAGAGCTGCAGTGTCTCAAAAAGACTCTTTCCCCCACATCCTTCAGGGTACGGAGATAGTCATTGTCCGAATAACTTGCTTGCCACTTATGCAATGACCTTAGCACTTCCCATTTGTGGGATTTCGTAAATTCCCTTTGGTTTCCCTCAGCAGTGAAATCTTATTTCGGGGCAAAATCTTTCAGTTGTGTCAAAGGATCTTGTGTATTCTTCCTATATGTTCTTTGGTTGTGTTTCGTGGGATGCACTTGCTTTCTAGACCATTGCACCTGGGACTTATCATATTAAATATATAAATTTGAAAATAACAAAACAAAAACAAACACACACACACACACAAAAAAAAAAAAAAAAAAAAAAATAAAAAAACCTGAAATGTTTCAGATTTTAAATTAAGACCAAAGGAGCATTTTTTTAACATTGTGTGTTACATTTACTTATTAAATATCATGTTTTCCGCACTTAAACCATAAAATTCAGTTCAATAGCAATATCCCAAAATAGTTTTAAAATGAGTATATATCTTTAGAATTTCCAATACAGAGACTTGCGTGTTGGAGATGAAAATGTTTTTTCTGTGCAACGTTGCCATTGCTCGCTTTGAAATCCTTGAGTTTTTTAATCAAAAACTCATTAAGGTTTTACAAAATATGAAATCAATAATAAAACAAATTCCAGATTTCAAATTTGGTCTTCCACATGCCCATATTCGTAGGAAGATTACGTCTTTCAAAATTCGGTGGCTCTATGTACCGCTGTTTTATCATAATGCGAGAAATATACATAATAAATAAGGCAGATTTTTCATTATTTAATTTCTTCAAATATAATGGAGGACTCTAACATTTGGTGGCAACAGCTTGAATAGGGATTTGCCTTTTATGGTGCCGCAAAATCGCAAAACGAAAGCCATAGTCCTTCAGGGCTAACCATACTAATATGCCTATGCATATGATATATACATAGCATATACTTGAAAAATCACAGGTTTAAGTTGAAATATTATATTAATTTATATTTTTTTCACATTCAGCATAGACGTTTTTATTAAAAAATACGAAAGTTACGAAACGGTTCCAATTACTAGATATTTTATGGAAAGAGATTAATTCCCCTTATAAAATCAAGACTTTCTGTGAGGGGGATCAGTAGTAATTACTCTTATATACAGTCAAAAGTCGTTAATTCGGACACCCATAATCCGGAATGATCTATAATCCGGACCTCAAAGCGAAGTCCATTAAACAAAAAGTGGTATTACTGCAAAAAATGGAAAAAGGCATATCCTTCGTTTCTCTAACCATTCCGAAATCTGTTTATCAATTTCACGCTGCTCTGCGGCCGGGACATCGGGGCACGCAATGAATTTGGAAGTTGGTCTGTCAGCACTATCTTTATCTTCAGGGCAGATGTTTTTTATTTTATTTGGCTTATAATTCCTTACTAAATGTAGCATTTCATCTCGATGTACTCCGTCTTTGATTTGATTTAAATCAAATTCCTCCTCATTATAATTCGCTTCTGATAGTGAAGAGAGTGACACAGAGGTTATTGAAAACGGAAAAAATTTTGATTGACAAATTAATTGATATTCTCGACACAGCAATTATAAGACTTGAAGAGCAGAACTTTGTAACTGAACAAGAAATTATGTCTGTTTATAGAATTAAAGGGAAAGTATTATCACATAAAACGAAGCAATTTAAACAACTTGCATTGAAATAAATGTTTAATAAAGAAACAAATAAATATTAGGCTTTGCTCTTTTTTTTTTTTTTTTTTTTTTTTTTTTTTTTTTTTTTTTAAATTCTGATACCCTTTAGATCATAATTGTTATTTCATAAATTAAGGTTTCATATTTTTAATTTTATAATTTCTGCATGCCGTCTTACCAGATTTAAACTGATGATCTATAATCCGGAATCGCCAAAGTCCCGGATTAACGAATTTTGACTGTATTTGCTTTCTGTATTTCTTTTATTATAAATATTTGCAAATCCAAAGTGTGGCAAGAAAGCAAAATATGGAAAAAGGTATTAAATTACAGTTTTACAGCATTTACTAAGATTTAACGTATAAAAAATCTCTCATTAAATTAGTATTTACTGTTCGTTTCTTAGAAAATAATCAAAATAAATATTAAATAAAATATAGATACATATATAGCCTTTTGTTTCAACTTCTTTCTTATTAGATAATTGCACCAATATTCCCGTACTGATAACAGTCAGGTCATACCTTCGGTCAATTGAATATCACGCAATGGCATATCAGTGAAGTCAATATACACTGGTGGTTCTCGAAGGCTCTATTCTCTGTTTCAGCTAAATAAAGCTTCTGTTATATCCTTCACGTACACACGTACAAGGAATATATGGGCCAGTTTCACACACAAAATCCTTAACAAAGGCCGATCAGTGGCCAAGCGATAAAAGCCGCTGAACACTGGTAGCTTATTCTGGGATTCGATCCCAGCGAAAGGGCTCTCTATATAGGCGTTTCGAGGTTTTCCTCTTATATAACATGCACACCAGCCAGTTCCCTTTAAAACGTCTTCCATGAAGCGTCCCTCCCTTTCCATTAGTACCTAATATTTTACTGAGAGACTGAATTAATTTTTGGCATAAGCTTTTTTTTTTAAATTAAAAATGAAATTGTCATCACTATGGTAAAGTAATAACGAGGAATTCTATTTTAATAATGTTTGTAAATTCAGTATTCCCCACTTTCTTGTGCATAATGAAAATACAAGCTAAATTTCTGCTGAAGTGACCTGCATAACAACATCAATATATTGGCAAGATTATTTTCTGTTAATAACACTTCCAGTTTTTATTTTCATATATCAATAAAAGTAGTAATATTTGGATTACGGCCAAGGCACAAAGGGCTATCTGCCCAAGGGAGAAGGGCCTTTTTAAAGGAAATTGCTTGGTACTCATGTTAGACATGACACTACATGCAGCCAGCTAGTTCACTGAAATGTGAACCGAACCTAACTATCAGTGTTATCGAATTTACCGCTCGACCTCTGGTAGGTCTGTATAAATAAATAAATAAATAAAGTTTATAAATCTGCTTGAAATTTTACATTAGTATTAATTTTACCAATTTTTGTGTCATTAAAAATGTTTTTTTCCCCTTTATACTTCCCCTTTTTATTGAAAATTTTGTATTTAATAGTGCTGTTTGAAACATGCAAAATGCAATGAAATGCAATGAAAATATAATCAATAAAATCTGTTTTTAAAGCAAAGGAGAATATTTTTTAAAAAGTACGCTAAAGGGGGAAAAAAGCTTTTATCAGAAAACTGCAAGAAAGAACAATGATGTAGTTGAAAGATGAAATACTTATGATACAAGGGGGTGAAAATCGATAAATTATAAAAAAGAAACTGAATAAGAATATTAATGAAAAAGGTAACTGAAACTAATATAACAAAACTACAACGAGATTTGTTTAATATATAAATATAAGCTTGGAAACAAAAGAGAACTGCTGATTTATGCGAGAAACAAATAGTTCATTTTCGAGTATGAATTAAAAATGTTAATTAGTACATGTAATTCTAAACTAAATTCAGTTTGAAAACAAATAAAAACTGATTAGACTATGTACTGATTTTAGGTGTGCATAGGAAGTATTTTTATTATGATGCAATGTCAAAAGTTAATATTCCAACATACGACAGTTATATAGCTATGAAATCTCACCATCATATGTTTCCCTAGTTTAGGGAAAAGAAACAGCAGAAAAGAGAACAAATTCCTTTATCTTATTCTCTAGTCTCTTATCTAAAAATTAACAAATACGACCCCCAAAGGCTACCCAAAGGAAAGGTTTCAAAAGAGTACAATTTTCCCTTTACAATGGCAGCTAAAAGGGGATGAAAATGCATTTGGATTTCCCATCTTCTTAAGTGAAACCTTTTCAAACTGCTCAATGTCTTAAAGGTTAAACTTTTCTTTTTTGGTTATGATGTGACCATGTTGTACTGCATGTATTGCTGCTTTAATTGCTTAAATTATTTGTGATCTTCATGTCGTGTTATCTGTGATGATTTGCCTCATTACTTTATCATTTAAATTTTTCTCTTGTTGCCAAGTGAGAAAAGTTAATGTATTTATTGCCCAAACATTTCCTGTTGTGTTCCTCAGTGAGCATTTATGTTATTGAGAATAAAAATAAATTTTAAAGTTTCAATCATTTCTGCAAAATCCGTAAGGAACACAAAGAAAATGGTCAGTAAGCAGCCATGCTAACTAAGCTGCATGGTTGAAATCCCTGATCACAGACAGGTGATTTCTTTGCCAAATCTCTTTTTTTTCCCTTAAATTCCTTTACTAAAGACCTTAACCTTGTTCTATGTCATTATACTCCACATGTCTTTGTAGACTTTGCAAAGAAGATGATTATGCCCTCCAATTCCATATGCATGATGTAAATAATATTGCACATGCAGGGAGTCTCTGGATAATAAATGCAGTCTAATTTCCTCAACATGGCAACTTTGATTTTCCAGTCAGTAAAGCAGTTCAGCCTCATGTTTACAGCATGGTTCTATTTGGCAGCAGAACTTGTTTCATGAAATGCTGTGTGTATTTAGAGAGCTTATGTTGGATAGCACTACATAGCTTGTCATTAAGTTTATTTTATTCTGTTGCTTTGTGTTATAACTATCTAAAAACTAAGTATTAAAGTTTCGCTGTGTGTAAGTCATGTTTCTTTTCATTTAAAACTACTTTTCAGAAAAGCAAAAAGGCCAAGGTTGAAAAGCCTGAACCATCTGTTGACGAAGAAGAAAATGAACAGTCCAGTGATGATAATTTGGTAAGAAAAATTATTTTTCTCGCATTTTTTACTTCCTTGTCCGAAGTAAATGAAGCCTTGTAATCGTAAAAAGTTTCGGGTATCATATTTCAACGAACATATCCATTTTGACTGCCCTTGAATTTTGCATGACGTCTGTATATAAGGCAGAATAAGGGTCTCTTTTTCTCAAAATGGATTAAAAATTTTTATTTGAAAGGGATTCATAAGAGATTTTGTTTTTGTGACATCTGTATGTACTTACATATGTATGTATATATCTTGCATAACTCAAAAACGAGTAGCCTCAGTAACATTGAAATTTTGTATGTGGGCTGCTGTAACATGTAGTTGCGCGCCTCCCTTTTTAGTTGCAATCCGCAGCACCAAAAGTGTGTGTATATTATATATATATATGTGTGTGTGTGTATATATATATATATACCCACTTCGTTGCTCAGCTCTTTTTTTTTTTTTTTAAATTCTTATGTTGGTAAATTGTGCATTTTTTGCTTTAAAATTAATTAAATTGTATTGTTCTTATGTTCCAGTTAAGGTTTTAAGTGCAACTAAGCCTAACAGAGCAGCCTTGTTTACATTTGAAACTTAGCAGACTGGTGAATTAAGTCAGTTTCTGCACCTTCAGTGTCTTGCCCATTGTCTGAATTGTTTGTTTTTGTGTAGAAACTCTTAATTTGAATTGTAAAAGAAATTTTTTTAAAACTATATTTTTCAATTTTTAATGAAGACGTTTTGAGTTTTTATGTATTTTGGCTTTGCCATAAAGTGAAAACTGAATTAATTGAATGAGAAATATATCTTTAATGAAATTCAAGAAAATAAGTTTAAATGAAATGTAGCAAAAAGTGTGTACAATGTCCGAGATCGGGATTTAGGCGATCCTGGATTTGGGATTTTTCCAAATATTAGATCATCAGTTTAAATCTAGTAAGATGACATGCAGAAATTATAAAATTAAAAATATGAGATAATGAAGCATTTATGATCTAAAGGGTATGAAAATTTACAAAAAAAAAAAAAGAGCTTGATATTTATATGTTTACTTTATTAAACATTCCTTCTAATGCAAGTTGTTTAAGTTGCTTTGTTTTTGTGCTAATACTTTCTTTTTAATTCTATAGACAGGTATAATTTCTTGTTCAGTTACTAAGTCCCATTGTTCAAGTTCTGGAATGCTGTGTCAAGAATTCCGACTAACTTGTTAATCAAAATTTTTTCCTTTTCAATAACTTCTGTTCTTCACTATCGGTAGTGGTATTTTCTGGATTTAGTACCATACTACAAATTTCACCATCCGTCAATTGATTTATGATTGGAACATTGTCATTGCAATCTAAAACTTCTGTTAACTTCTCTTCTTCCCTAAATTCTGCCGCCCGGTGCAGCCATGCGAGCTCTAATGTGGTTATGGCTTTATGTGAATAACAAATCAGTTGTCCTTAATTCAAATAGCACTAAATGTAATCTTTTGGCCTATGTGTATCATTAACAAAATCTATTTTTAGTGTATGGAAAGAAGTTTTTCTTAAATCTTTCGTCATCAACATGTTTAGCGCATTTAACTTAAATATGTAATTGGCACCAAGCGTATTGTCAACAGAAAATGTTACCATACTCTTTGTTATTCAATTACTTATACAGTCAAAAGTCGTTAATCCAGACTTGTCGTGACTTCAGCGATTCCGGATTATAGATCATCAGTTTAAATCTGGTAAGATGGCATGCAGAAATTATAAAATTAAAAATATGAAACCGTAATTTATGAAATAAAGAACAATTGTGATCTAAAGGGTATCAAAATTTACAGGAAAAAAAAAAAAAAAGCTTAATATTTATTTGTTTACTTTATTAAACATTTCTTTCAATGTAAGTTGCTTCATTTTATGTGATAATACTTTCTCTTTAATTCTATAAACAGACATAATTTCTTGTTCAGTTACAAAGTTCCGCTGTTGAAGTCCTATAATTGCTGTGTCGAGAATACCGACTAATTTGTCAATAAAAATTTTTTCGTTAATAACCTCTGTGTCACTCTCTTCACTATCAGAAGCGAATTATAATGAGGAGGAATTTGATTTAAATCATATCAAAGAAAGAGTACATCGAGATGAAATACTACATTTTGTAAGGAATTGTTAGCCAAATAAAATAAAAACATCTGCCATGAAGATAAGGATAGTGCTGACAGATCAACTTCCAATTCATTGCGCGCCGCGGCGTCCCCCCACTGGCCGCAGAGCAGCGTGAAATTGATAAACAGATTTCGGAATGGTTAGAGAAACAAAGGATATGCCTTTATCAATTTTTGCAGCAATTCCACTTTTTGTTTGATGGACATCGAAATATACTTTCGCTTTGTAGATCCTTTGGAAGCTCCAGCATCGGAAATTCTATTTGACATAATCGAAAGTTCAAGCTTACTTTTATAAAATTGCTCTAACAGTCTGCAAAAAATAATAAGCCTGATCCAATTCGAAGATTATGGAACAGCGCAATCTGCAACATTAACTGAAATAGATAATTAGATAATTTTAGCTTATACCATCCGTTATACATTAAACATGCATGCGTAAACTTATTATGCGCATGCACACACGCATATGCGCAGCCGTAAAGATCTTATGCGCATGCATCAACGCAATGCATGCGCAGAAAGTTTGTAGCTTTGAGGTCCGAATTATGGGTGTCCGAATTAACGACTTTTGACTGTATAAAAAAATTGTTTAAGCATTGCTGTATGAGTGATCACTCAAGTTGTCATGTGTTGATAAACATGCGGTGCTGGAAGTAAAAATATAATAAATAATGATTCGCCAGGTTCATCAAGGAAATAAAATATGTTAATAATAAAAATTGTTAGTTGTTGTAAAATCAATAATGTTTCTGTGTAGAATGTTTCGGTTTGAGATGTGTGCCTAGCAAATATGCAGCTAAATCCACACGAATTTATGTTAAAATGATTATTTTTTTAATAATGATGTATTTTATTTAGTGCTGAAGTGAGATTAGGAATGGGGACTCTCCACCTTTTATTATGAGGGGGAGGGGAATCGAATGCGCATGTGTAAAGCATACCCCTCTCTCCCCAAGAAAATTGGTTGGTGATGGCTTTGATGCCTGGGTTTTAGATCATTCTGGGTATTGAACGTCCGGGTCTCGGACTTTGTAATGTATTATTTAACAGGCCATATAAGGAAGCTATGCTAAGCTTCCACATCAGATTTTTTTAAGCAAATGATAAAGATAATTATAATATTGTTTAAATAATTTTATTTTTGTAAAGGTTCACAAGTAAATTTCTAAACAGACATCCTGGTAATATAAATTCATGTGATACAAGACAATAATTCAAATGATACAAGAAAAGTTAGCTGTAAGTAATTTTTAAGTAGTACATAAGTATTTTATTTTTTCTCAGGGTTAAAAGATTAAATTTTGTAAACTTTTAAGTAACTTGTCAAAGCAGGAGAAACAATCCCGCACTGTTTACAGGGTTGCCAAACTACTGGAAAAAGTCAAGGAATTTGAAAATTGACCAAAAACGGCAAGGAATTTCATACGGAGATTCCAAAAAGTTATTTTCATGCCAACGTTGAAAGCAATCACTTTCTTACATGCATGTTATTTCATCAGTGGTTGGTTAATTGACAAAATAGCTTGCCTTTCCTTATTAGAAAATGTAGAGCTGTGATCTCAAACTGGCGGACTGTAGGGCCACCCATAGCCTCTGCAGCAATTTTATGTAGCCTGCGAATACATTTCAGTAATGTATTTGTTGAAAACATGGTGTTAATAGTTCTAGGGATGTAGACTGGATTATGTATGTGAATATTATTAAGGAAGGAAGAAATTTTGAATTTTTTGGAGTTTATATTTGTTTTATTTCTTAACCATATATATAATATGTCACATTCACAATCAGTAAATTAGTTTTCAACTGAACAGCATGCTTGCAAGTTCAAACTGATTGTTTCGATTTTAATGCACATTTTTTTTTGAAAATTAAGCTTGGATTTGTAGTTCAACTGATATAATTTCAAAAATGGAGGCACAATTGATTTAAATTCTAGAAAAAAAGATTAATACTTATTGTTTGGCAATAAAATGTTTAATTGAACATTGGATTAACAGATCATATGGGCGTAAATACTGAAAACGTAAAAAAGAATGTATTTGTTGTAAACATGGTGTTAATAGTTCTAGGGATGTAGACTGGATTATGTATGTGAATATTATTAAAGGAAAAAGAAACATTGAATTTTTTGGAGTTTTTATATTTGTTATTGTTTGCTTATATGCCAGGCCACATGATTGGGGTCCAGTGGGAGAACTTTCCCACATTGCACAATCAGTAAATTTAGTTCAACTGACAGTGGTGCTTAAGTATGTTGGTCTTTCTGAATTGTTGTCGATTTGGTTCTTCTGATGCACATTTTCCTTGAGTGAGTTACTGAATGGCTAGCTGGATGCATATCTGTGCAGTTCAAACTGTTATATATATGGAGGCAAACTAATGTTCCACAAACTTGCTTATTTGTCCTTTATTCTAGATCTATATTATATTAATACTTATTGTTTGGAATTGTGCATAACTTTTGAATGTTTATTATTGAATATTGGTATGCTTAAAACAGAATCATATTATAAATAGCTGAATAACGTAAATTAGACATAATAAAGTCAATCTGGACTTCCTTTGAAATGGGCATGCCATGCAGTGTGAAAACTTACAGGAAAAGAAACGGCTTTTCAAATTTTAGGTTGACAAATGCCTTTTTATTATTGAAATGAAAGTTTCACAATTAAAATTTTAGATTTTTTAAACTTAAAATTAACAAGTATTTGTTGAATAAAATATAAGATGTAAAATAGAAATGTTCAACAGTTTGAAATTGCAGGATTTTGCCGAGCAAAAGAAGGTTAGATGGCTGCGGGTTTAGTCGCCAGGGCCTAGATTGCATTGTACCTAGTGTTATTATCCTCGGTTTAAATAGCATTGGCTGAAGAATGCAGGTTTTAAATAATAGTTGGTTAGTTTAATTTATAAAAAATAAATAATAAGCCAAAACGTAGTTTCTTACTGTACTCTAGCATAAAAACTGCTAGTAAATTTTGATTTCTGTGTTGTAAGTGTTCACTTTTTCTTTAAATAATTATGTGATTTAAATTAAAAAAATGAGTAAAATTTTAAAAGTTGAATCTGGATCCTTAATTTCATTCTACTATCTGAAATGTTTTAAATGTGGCTTATCTTTTTAATGTAACTTTTTTCAACAGAAAACTGAAAAAACAAAAAAAGAGAAGTCAGATGGCGATAGAAGCCGCAGTGGGCGTTCAAACAAACGCAAAAAGTACGATGCTGATGATGAGTTGGAAAAGGATGAAGATGAAGAGGAAAAGACAACAGATTCAGATGTTAAACCATCTGAGAAAAAAGAGGAGAAAAAATCTAAATCGAAAAAAGAGGGCAAAGAAAGTAAAAAACACAAAGAAGGACGACATGGAAAAAATCGATCACAGACATGAACTTCTGTGACTCATTTTCTTTTGCATGCAATGATAAATTTTGGAGTTCTCTTTGCTCGTCAGAAATTTTTTTACTAGGCAAGAGATAAAAACAAAATTTTTAATGTGTTACGGCACACAAATTTACATTATTTGATAGCCACATATCTTCATTTCTTTTCATAATGAACTTTAATATCTGTTATACTTCTACAGTGTTACAAAAAGATGATTGTAGCTGCTGTTTTTGTAGAATATATTAAATACATTCATGAACTGAAATGTACTTTGTCGTTGATTTTTTTATGCTTGTATTATTATTATTATTATTTTACTATATTATAACATTGCAAACAAATTGTCTTCCCTTATTTGAATTGTATTCTTAAATGATCATTCGAATTCAAGATTTCACATGTATTCATTTGCACATACTAAGACTTAACCATTCATAAAACTTCATAAAGGCTTATATTCATGTGCTTCGAGTGCTTTTATATGTAAGGGACATATTGTCAGATATGCTACTCGGGCTTTCGTATATTTTGTTTGCAGTTTGCTCATTTGCATCATTCATCGAAAAACGTTTTTCATACTAAATAAATGCAGAAGTGTCACATTTCATCCTGCAATAAGAGTAATTTTTTATGTCATTAATAAGATGCTTCAATTTTTCTTTGACTGTAAAAATTGGTAATATATATATATAATACCTACAACTTACTTATGTTAGAATGATTGGAATAAGAAACACTTTAATAATATGAATCATTTAATGTGGAAAATAATTGATAAAATATTTGTTCTCAATCTTTTTTTGAAAAGAATATTCTTTTGTACTTGTAATGTTAAATCTGCTTCCGAAATATAATGTGCGTAGTTCATTGAGAACTATGCAATTAAAGCTCATGCAATGCAATACTAATTAATTATTTTATTTCTCTGTGATAAACTGGCTATATTTAAAAATATCTATTAGATATTTCAATTATGCTCAAGCTATGTTACTTCAAGAGAACCCCTTCATTTGTGATACCTTCATCCTTGTTCTATTCTGGACTTGTTATTTTCCATTCTGAGCCATAATAAGATTGTCTGATGGAGATATATTTTAATTGCTTGTCTGTTCTGGCATTGCAAAATAAATTGATATTAATTGTGCCTAAATTTGTTGTTTAAATTTAAGTACTGAAGTATGAGGCAATTAAACATCTGGTAATTTTTATCCTGTGTTATAAAAAATCTCACCTAGGAGAATTTGAAATACAGTAAAATTGCATTTATCAAAGCGATTTTAACAGCGTATTTAGTGTTTTCATCCATTTTCCATAGGAAAGAGTGTTATTTTCATCCATTTTCCATAGGAAAGATAAAAAGAGTCATGACTCATCAATTTGTTTCTTTTCTTTGTGCTATATATTCTAATCTATATTGTATTATTTTCCTTTTTTTAAATATTTTTTCATTCATGTCAGTTGTGCACGTTAAGCAAGGAGTTATTGCATGAAATATATTTACTCCTTGTTTTATTTAAAATATGTGTGAAAATTCTGCTGTTTTCAAAATGTATAATACATTTTATTGTATCTCTAAATGAATTGAAAAATAATTAAAACATTTGAGATTTTATGAAAATTATGCTATGTGGAATAAATACAACATATTGTGTAGCATTCGAAATACGTGTATCTTTATGAATTATTAATATTTAATTTAATATGAAACTACACATACTGTTCCCAGGAACTATCTATTATGGAGAAAGTTTGCTAATGTAGACTGTCCATTTATGGAAGTCTAAAATGTAGTATGAAAATTTTTCCTTCATGTTACTGTTAAGCTTCCTTTCATATTCCAGTAAAACAGTTATCCTTTTTGGTACATTTTTGTCAGGACAGCACTAATTCATGTAGTTTGTAATAACAAAGTGTATATTTGTATTCTGAAAAGAAGACTTTTTTTATACATGAGGAATCTGTAAAATGCATATTGTAATTTTGAACCAGTCTGTCTTTTATCATTTGTTTTCGGGCAATTATTAGTAAAATAGCTGCTCCTGAATCACTGTTAAATATCATGAATGATACAGTTTTCAGCATAATATTTTTTGTATGTAGCAGCATCTGCATTACTCTTTGTCTTCAGGCAACTTTTGGTAAAGAAAGAAACTTATTAAAAAAAAAATTGTACTAAATAGAGGAATTGCAAGTACAATGAAATGTTCTATGCTTTTAAAAGGATATCCCCCCCAACCCCAGAAGGATCTTTTTTTGTGTGTGCACACTGCATTTTTTTGTCATTTCTGGCTGAGACTTTAAATAACTGCTTACTTGTACCTGTGGAAAACTGCAATTCTTGTACAAAAGTGTATGTGTGTGTGTTTTGTTTTTAAATGTATAGCTTTAGCATTTTATATAAAAAAAATAATCTCTGAATAAAATCATCTCCTTGTTTTTACACTTAAGTTTAATTGTACCATAAACCAATTTATAATTATTTTGATAAATATATCCCCTAGAAGATATTGAAAGTAAATAACGAAAGCAAAAGGAAACATGGGTGTCTGCAAAACAATTTTACAAAGGTAACTAATCACATAAATGTTTACAACATTATTCAATTTCGTAGGTTCTAAAACCCCTATCATATTATGTTTCGGCTGTTCTGGACATTGAAAGGGACAATTCTCAGACCTGCACATTTCCAGGAAACCCACGTAGCTAGGTTACCATTTTCACTTAGTACAAAGATTTGAATGCCAAACAGTAATCGATTATCGCTCAGATTGGAATCATGTGAACCTTCAGAAGTAGAACATTTGTCTGATTGGTCTTGATCTACACCGGACAGAGCTGCAGCTGAAACATTTACGGCCAGGTTTAAAAAAATCCTGCGTAGCCCGGACTTCACTTCCAGCGCAGCTGTTTTTTCTAGGAATCCTCCCGTTTAAACCAGTGCTACCAGAATCTCATTTTTCAGAAAAGTCCCGTCTAGCAGGGACCATCGCTAGATGTGATAACCTCTTTAAGCAGATCACAATGCAGTATTACATTGATACAAAAACAATTTTTTGCTCAGTTCCCGTGGGGAGCGGAAATTGCTACATTTGTTCCCTTGCCCATGAATACTACAAATTCAATTAAGCAAATCCTTTTTTTTTCTTTTTCCTAACACATTAACAGAATTAGCTTTTATTCCTATTATGTACTGCTTACTTGTACCTCTTTACAAAATGTCTGCTCTTGAAAGTAGCAGCTAAAAGCTGTATGCAATATTAATGAATTGCATGTATTTTGTTTTTATAAACTGTGTGGGACACTGTCAAAATCAGTCTTTAGTTAATACTCATTCCTAATAATGTTAGCTTAAAACCATGAAGCTAAGCTTCAGATGTTAATGAAAACTGAGTTAAGTGATTCAGCGAAAACCTGTTGATTTTCACAGATACAAAAATTTCTAAAATGCCAAGGAAATATATCAGTGGGAGAAATGTTTGATATCTGTGTGGTTGTTACAATTTTTATTGCATTTACTTCATTATTTTTATGTTTCTCGTTTAACATGAAATATGAGCTTTTATTAAAGCTTAATATTACATTCTTCCTTCTAAAAAGAATATATTACGGTACCGTACTTCTATTGTATGATGTACTGTGTATAAGAACTCTCAAAATTTTTCTTTGCATGCTTATAGTTTTTAATATAAGATTCTGTTATGTCCATGGATTTTAGAGTAATTAGTACTATCTAACAAGACTGCTTAAATAATATGGGTCTGCATTAATCTTTTATTGCCTAAATGTTTCATACTTGTTTTTTACATTAATGTAAGCATCATCAGATGCAATTTTATATGTCTTCAGCCTGTGGTACATGAAAGATATTGCATCAATTCATTGTAAATGGAATATTTAAATGACACGTGATAACCTTTCTTTCCTCTGGTGTTTTCTTTTAAACTGAACATATTTCTGAAAGAAGTATTAAATGTTGCTTGTATTGTTGAAAGGATTCGAAGGAATGGTATGCAAGATTAGTTATTTTGGGAACTATGCAAATACTTCATTGACATACTGAGTTGAGTCAATGGCAGTCGATGATGGAGGTTTGTAATTTTAAAATAGGAGAACTGAAATGTAAATTCATTGCTGATGTTGCCAAGTTTAGCAGCAATTTACATAGCTTAAATGGTTCTTCCAAGTCCATGTAAAATTGCTGGCCCTTGGAATATGTATGCCAGTTATGAAATTATTTGTGAATATCCATTACATGGTTTGAGCCAATGATGTACAAACGTGCAATTTTGTTTTTACGTGGCAAAATGCTGTGCTTCATGAACTGCGTAAGTAATGATGTATATTTAAGTGATTCTGATACAGATCATGTTAGATATAATCTGAGTAGGCTATGCATTTGTATTTTCTATAGTTGATGAATTATATAATATTCTTAATGAATTTTCATTATTTTAATGCCTTTATTTATAATTGCTAATTCACAGAATTTTTGGTGATGGAGTTTGTTCTTATATTTTTGCTCTTATAATGTATTTCCTTGTCTTAGTAATATATTTTCTCTTCTTATGATTAGATTGAAGTTATGAGTATAGTGATGGAATAGAAAAGTTTGTGTAGTATTTTATGTGATTTATGTTTGTGTTTAATTTGTATGAATAGAGAGTTGCCCCCCACACACACTGTACATTTTAAAAATACTTTTTCACAAACTGTTATGTGTATCAAGTTACCATTGGATCACAAATGTAGATAATTGTTGCCAAAAAATTATATGAATATTTAAATTATTTGATAAATAAAGGCAACATAAATAAATTCTAGCACCTAAGAATTAATATGGAGCTGGGGACAGTTAGCATCATAATTATTATTTATATTAGCTAGATTTTCAATCATAATATTCTCTCAGCTGTTTTATTTCATTCTTTATTTTCTGTGTAATTTATGTTCATGATCTTAGTTATACTGTTATTCAGATTAAATTTGATGTAATAAAGTTTTGGTATGCAACTTTTCACCAGTATTTCTTTTAATTGTTATGTTTATGAATAAATGCATCTTACTTGGGATTGATTTGTTATTGATACTTTTGCATAGAATTTTCTGATACTATTTAGGATAGTTTATCCAACTGATGTTTAAGTCTGATATTTTTTAGTTAGTTTAAGAGATATTTCATAATTCTAAAAGTAGGTTTACCATTTATAAAAGCATATTTTGAAGTGTTTCTGATAATTCAATATTAAAATTTAGGTTTGTTTTTCAATGTGTAGTATATATGTTCCAAAGAACAAAAAATGGAATTCTATAAACTAACAAAGTTGGTAAGGAAATATCTAGTTTGTACTCACAATATGTTTCTAAAAACCAAATAAACAAAACTACTTTAAATATGAACATTTTGATATATGGAGGAAAGATGATAAACAAGCCATTCTAATACAAATACCTCCACAAACTAGGGAAATATATTATTAGTAAACAAAGTTTACATAAAATGTTTTCAAACTAAGTAATCATATATACATACATAACAGCACTGCATCATCCAGAATGCTTGTCCCCCCTCAAATTAAAGAGTGTTTTCTTCAAATTATTTTGTTACTTTTGATAAGGAGGGGCCTTGGCTGAAGCAGATGGATAAAAACAAATTGACTATGTTAGACTATCATGATGTACGGGTTTTCCATACTTTAACAGAGCAGAAGATGCTTGCTAGAGTTTTCAGCATGTGATTCTTTGCTGAAAAGGAATAAAGGAAATCTGTTCTTGAAACAGCTCATTGCTGGAGATGAAAAGTTAGTATAAGTAAAGTAAAGTATGCAATAATGAAAGAAATAATAATAAACAGTCCTGGGGTAATTCAAATGAATCTACACTGGTGTGCAAAAATTAAGGACGAGACGGTTTTTTCAATATAACTTTGTACAAAAGCTTTCCAAATCAACACATTTAATACCGTAAGATCCCCAATACGTAAGGACATGAGTAATGTAAGCAACACTTACTAAAAGAGAAATCAGAGGGATAAAAAGAAGCTTTATTGAAAAAGTAGCATGGAGGGCAATGCGACTGAAGGCAGAAAAATCCCTGTGATGGGTGTCCAGCAAGAAACATCCGGTCTTTAATAGGGGATATGATCTCCCCTGACTGCTAGGCAGGTTTCACAGCGTCTGCCCATGCTGAGAATGAGGGTGTTAATGAGTTGTTGAGGCATTGCTGCCCATTCGTCTTGCAGCGCCAATCGAAGCTCTGGAATCGTTACTGGTGGTAAGGTACGAGCTGCCAAGCGTCTGCTTAGAAAATCCCATACATGCTCGATGGGATTGAGATCCGGAGATTGTGCCGGCCAATCCATATGTTCAATATCCTCACTCTCTAAGAGCTGTTCGGCAGCTACTGTGCGATGACATGGTGCATTGTCGTCCATGAAAAGGAACTGCGGACCCATAGCGCCTCTAAAAGACGCACATATGGAAGAAGAATCTCGTTACAATAACGGGTCCCGTTGACTGAACCTGTGTCGAAGATGTGAAGCTCTGTACGACTACCAAGCATGATGCCTCCCCAAACGAGAACACCGCCACCTCCATACCTGTCCCTTTCAATGATGTTCGAGGGGTGATTGTGGCTTCCCCACTCTCTCCAGATGAGTATGCGATGAGAATCACTACTCAGACTGAATCTGCTCTCATCTATAAAGAGTACTCCTCCTCATTCATTGTCTCTCCAATTCCGGTGTTCCTGGCACCACAGAGAACGCCTTCTCCAATGGGGAGGCGTTAGAGGTACACAACCGTAAAGGGCGTCGTGCAAACAGGCCACCACCGTGCAGTCTTCTGGCCACAGTAAAACGCGATATTGGTCGTCCAGTCGCCTGTGTCGTGTGTCTAGCGATTTCTCCTGCTGTCTGCCGTCTGTTTCTTCTGGCCTCTAAGGCAATATACCGGTCATCTGCGGTTGTGGTTCTTCGTGGACGACCACTACTAAACCCCCGGATAGCTGTTCCTGTAGTTTGAAATTGTCTCCAAAGTCGTGAAATGAGGCTGTGAGCAATTCCGAACTCTGCAGCCACACTTGTCACACTGCGGCCTTCCTCCAACTTCCGAATGATTCGACCTCGGGTAAAAGCATCCAGATGTCGTCAAACAGATTGATTATTCGCCATTTCTTGCTGAGGCAGCAACTCGGTGTGATTTTAACTGCTATACGGCGTGCAATCTCTTTGCCAGAAATACTGATCTTACACCGACAACATGCTTTATACTACTCATTACGTCTACCTGCATATCTGCGCATGTGCTACTGTACATCACCTTACTTAATCTCCTGATTGGTCTTTCTGTCCGCTCTGCCTCTTTGTTCAGCTGATATGCTAATTTTTCGACTTTGTCCTTAATTTTTGCACACCAGTGTATGTTAGCAACATCAAATGTAGCCTACATTCCGAGTATGTGGTGAGACTAGATAATTCCATACTGTGCATTTTTGGCGCAAAATCAGGCGGTAAATTTGGAATACTCTTCCCAGATGACAACATTAAAGGCAGAAATTGAAGCAAAGTATCCAAAACTGACTTAGCTGTTCAACCATCATGACAATGCCGAGCCTCATATTTTGGTGAGTATGGCTAGGATGTTTTGTTTTATTTTTCATATTCATGAGACCTTGCCTCCTTGGATTTTCCTCTCCAGGTCACTTTAAAATTCTTTAAATGACATGGAGTTTACCACTTTGAAGAGTGTCAAACAGCACTGTGATAATTTAATAAAAATAAACCTAATGAGTTTTTTAAAAAAGAAATTTCCAGCTGCTGTAGAAATGGAAAAAATTCATAGAACCAAATGGGCCTTATTTGTCACAATGAAATTTTCTTCTGCTATTATATTGCTTCATTTGCGTTTATCATTAAAAAATGCAGAGCTTTTCAGATGGCCCATTATTTATTCCTCATTTTTGTAATAGACTTTGTACTCTGAAGTGTGAATTTTTTAAAGAAATTGTTCAGCAGTATCTGTCAGTGTCCTCTTCGCTATGTAAAGCATTTTTCAAAAGGAAGGCATTGCATCCTTAATGCCTGAACTTGCTTTTAAACTTCTGTCATAATATGGATAATTTACCTTTTATTGATTCATAACTTAGGTTATTTAAATGAATATTTTACTAAAGACATTTCCTGAATATATTTTAATGGAAATGCATAGAAAGGGTGTTCAACAACTGATATGGTTCAAGATATAGTATTTGTTTAAGTTTAGGAAAAGAGTTATCTTGCCTAAATAGTGTATTGTAAAACTGTACTCTCAAAATTACACTTGTGATTTCTTTAATTTTGTGTATTCGTTCTCTAACTTAATGACATTATGATGAATTAATGCCTTTGGTAATCAATCTGGAAAAAACATGAATATTTAAAATGTAAATTATTGAATAAAAACTTGAAGCCAATTGAGAAATGTTGTAATATGAAAGTAAATGTCTAGAATCAGTATTTAAGGATAAGATGACTGTTAGACATATTTTTGTTGATTATGTGTATACATACATGTGATGGTGCATTTTAAATGAAAATATAGGTAACCTCGATTTACACTGTAGACTGGTTATCCGAAAATGTTGTGCAATTTGAGTTCACATTTTGCAGTAAAAAGAAATACACACAATGCCAGATTAAGACTTTCAAAGGCCTAAAGGCCACTTATTTCTTCTCTTTCTCGGTTTTGGTTTAGCTGCATCATGCATGCCATGGAAAATATATGGTGTCCCTTTCCTGAATACTTAAGACCATTTTGTAGTTCCTCCTTTCCTCGATACCATGAGCATGTGCTTATGAATCGACTGGGACCAGACCCCATTCAGATAACTGGATTTTTTCCGAAGAAAGGGCTTACACTTTAATTAATTACTGTATGTTAAAAATGGGAGAAAACGCTTTTAGCAACAGAGGTGCTATTAATCTGGATCCTTACATTTTTGCAGGTATCACTTTTCAAATAAAAGAATGCTGATACGAAAGGCATCTCATGCATTGTTTTTAAAGAATTTATATAGTAAATGTAAAACACTGTATGGCACACCATGCATTATTTTAAAAGAAATTACACACAAATATGAAAAAGAGAAAAAAATGTATGCCAACACTTTAGTATGCTACTTTTAAATAGTTTTTTTTTTTTTTTTTAATTGAATTGTAGCTGACGTAAATGCGAAGAAAATGATGTCTAACAAGTAAAATGAATGAAAATAAAGGTATAAGTCAACTTACTAAGAGCTGCCCACCCAGGATAATGATTAACGACGCTGACTCCTGTACCGAAGGGCCTGGCTTCGAATCCCAGAGAAGGCATGGATGTTTGTAAATGTGTAGTATCTATGTGGCATGGAGGCACTCTAATTATAGGATGAGCCAAAAGCCCTCTGGAGAGGTTGGTTGCAGGGAAGACTGTTGGACCTGTTGTCCCAGGGTGCTATCCTTCAAAATTGGGTTGCCATCTTGAAAGGATGAATTTCGTGGTCTTGCTCGGTATCAAACAAGTGAGGTTACTCACAATAACAACAATCGTACTATACTACGCAGAGTATAAATACTAAAATATAATATGTCTTTGCCCTCAAACCATTTCACATAAACAATAAAATCACATACACAAGAACAGGTGGTTATGAATTTAAAAGCAGTGGGAAATTAACCCTTTTTAAAACATAGTGGTGGTTAAATAAAATATTTTCATGCGATCTTACAATATATTTTTATTGGTTTAAAATGCAGTTGATGAAATTTTTAAGTAACCAAGAAACTAATAAAAATGCTACAAAATTATTTGACAAAAATATAGTTATTGTTTGTTTCTCTTTTAAATAATGATGAATTGATATGTATGTATCTATACTTCTCACATTGCAAAAAACAGCGCAACCTTTAGAGCAACAATGTTTTGAACACATGTAGTCCTCCACCAAAGCAAGTCATTCTATACTTCGAAATCTAATTTTGAATTTCCAATGTATTTTTTGTTTATAATACATTTTGAGCGAACTTAATGAAAGTTCGATTAACAAATTCAGCGAATTACAAAGCAGTGTGTCGCCATTTAGCAAAGTGCAAGGTATTTATTCGTCTTTGAAATTTAAGCAACAAACTCGACGATTTGAAATAAATGTGTTGCCACATTACGAAATAAGCTGCATTTCATATTGCACTGCAAACAAAGTGCAAGATACTTAGTTTTTAATTTCACATTTAACTTATCTGTTGTTGATTAACAAACTAAGTCATTTAAAAGTACAGTACAACAGCTTTAATCTGGATCTCAAAGCTACAAACTTTCTGCGGATGCAGAACAAAAAATCTGAAAGGTTTCAGATTTTAAATTATGGCCAAAGGGGCGTTTTTTTAACGTTTTCTGTGTTACCTTTATTTATTAAATATCATGTTCTATGCATTTAAACCATAAAATTCAGTCCAATAGCAATGTTGCAAAATAATTTTAAAATAAGCATATCTTTAGAATTTTCGATACACAGTTCCATGCCCTAGAGATTAAAAGGTTTTTTTCTTCACAGAATATTGCCATTGCTCGCTTTTAAATCGTTGAGTTTGTTATACAAAATATGAAATCGACAATAAAACAAATTTCAAATTTGGTCATCCACATGCCCATATTCGTAGTTAGCTCTATGTATCGTTGTTTTATCACAGTGCGAGAAATATACATACATTTATGCAGATTTTTCATTATTTAATTTCTTCAAATATAATGCAGGACTCTTAACATTTGGTGGCAACACTTTGAAATGATAAACGGACATTTATAGTGATTCAACGCAAAATCGCGGAAACGAAAACAATAGTTCTTCAGGGACAAAACTCCTTTGGACTAAACGCCCCTTTGAACGTGATTTAAAATCTGAAACCTTTCAGATTTTTTTAAAATTTCTTTTAATTTAATTAAATTTGTTCAGCTGATTTTTCCATTAGATATGAAGCAAATGTCTTGTGCCTTGTTGAGTGCAACATATCGCTTTTAAATCTCCGAGTTTGTTAATCAGAGCTTCATTAAATTAGCCCCAAACATAAAATAAATAAAATGCAGATTCGAAATTGAAAATTTAAACTTTCCAGGTGCATAAGTTAGGATCGAGAGTTACGTGTGTTCAACATCTGGTGGCCCTGAGTGCCGCCGTTTTTTCAAAGTGTGAGGAAACATACATGTGTTAAGATTTTTTCCATTAAGAAGAAATCTGCAAATGAAGAAATTCTGATTGCAGACCTGAGGAGAAAACGGGGCTAATACCAAATGTACAATTGTGTAACATAATTTTCTATATAAAATTAGAACTATTAGTAATTAGAAACCATTGAACTATTAGTAATTAGAAATCTGAAAGCGAATTCTGATCCAGTTCCTTAACACAGAGATACTGCCAAACACTACAAGGTTTCTGAGTTCGAAATCTATTTTCACCTTAGAGAAAATCGGCAGGGAACGATTTCGAAGGACACAATAACACAACCTGCGACAAAGGAATACATTGTTGAACCTGGAAGGCTAACGCAAAAGTGCAAAAGAATCGGGGGTCTTTTACAGCAACGTAGAAGCAAACTCAGAGGCGAAATTGTAGGTAAATGGAGCGTTGACGCTTAAGTCGAGGTATCTGTCAACCTCACAGTCTTCGAACTGCGTCGTCACATCCGGTACAGTTGGTATTTTGGTGAGGAGTTTATTCCGAAAGAGTCTGTCAGAGCAGACGATCTCGAGGAGTAACAGTTACAACTTTTTCTCTTCCTGGTAAGTTTAGAATGCTTTCCTCCGATGTGTGAAAACTTTTGCTTTCCAGTTTTCTTTTCCCAAATCTCTTTTCGCGAATGGTTTGGAAAAAAAAAAAAAAAATTGTTCCCTTTTTATTAAATTAGCGTTTGTTTACATTTCCATAAATGCTGTGCATTTTTACTGAAATGGATTGAAATAAACTGCTTTAAATCTCTTAAAAAATTATTTTTAAGCAGAACTGTAATGTAAAATGTAGCTTCAGGATAATCAATTTTTAATAATAAATAATGAAATTGAGATTTAGTGTCATAATTTAGAACAAATACTGAAAGTTTGATTTTAAGAAAAATAAAATTCTTTTATTTTAATGCAAATGAAAGAACAAATTTATGACTTAAATTAAATCGGATTTATTTATCAGTTCTTTCAGAGCTTATATTAAACACATATTTAAGTGTTTAATAATTTTAAACATTAAAAATCCCAAAATCCTTTTAAAAATTAGGTTAGTTCTTTTTTTCAGTTTTTCCTGTTTTATTTCATAAAATATTATATAGAGAGTAACTTTCAGAAGTGAAAGGTATTTTATATACTAATATAATGAATTATAGAAGTAACGACCAAAACAAAAACTTTTCTCTGAAACTAATATATAACAGTTGCAATTTTGTTTAAATATTATCGATGTGATATAAATTCATTAAATCGAACCTTTTACATTTTGGAAAAACAGCAACTTATTGTTATGTCCTCTCATAATTATTGGAATATCTGAGAAAGTTTGCGGAACAGTGTAGAATGCTTTGGCTCATATATGTTTTCGGACACTTGTGTATTTCAGTTTTATTTGTAAATATAATTTATTAAATGTTACCGAAATAGCTTTATTTAATTTTTATACTGATGATCATCTATTTCAAAACCTGCTTGTTTTGAAAATAATATTCCAAACGCTTTTGGTAAAATATATTTTATTAAAAGTTCTGAAAAAGAACTCACATAAATATTCGGACTTTAGGAACAAATAAGTGTGTCTTTAATAAAATAAAGGGAAATAACTGGACAATTAATAATGCGTTGGAATATTTTTTAGCTAAAATTACACTTTTCATGCGCTTTGGCAATGTTTCAACTAACTTTTTTAATGTAAGAATATTCCTTTTCTTTTCACCCCATTACTCTCTAAGAATTACTTTCAATAGAGCTTTCGAAGAATTCCTTTTCTTTTCCCCCATTCCTCTCTAAGAATTACTTTCAATAGAGCTTTCGAAGAAATATCATATTTCCTTTTTCTTTTCTTTAACTCAGTCCATTCGATAGGATTTAAACTTGGAGAATATCGATGAGTTTTAATAACTTCAAGACAGTTGTACGATAACTACAATTGAACATTTAAAGGTGTATGTTTATCATCGTTAGCCTGATAGAATTTGAATCTGATTTGCACTCCAAATGTTCATGCAATTGCTTTCAGATTTTCATTAAGAATCTATATTATTTTCTATAAAAGACTGAATTTCCCATTCCAGAGGAAGGAAAACATTTAGAAACCATTATGTCTGTACCCCCATGTTTAACCGTAGGTCGCAGACCAGATTCAATGGTTAATTCGCTTTTCGCCATAGACTAATTTGCCTATCGGAAGCAAATATATTCAATTTTGATTTGTCTACAAATATGACATTTTCCCAATATGGTATAAATCTTTGCTTAGCGAATCTCCGGGCAAAATTTCCTTGCTTCCTTTTCCATGAAGTATTTTCTTCTTGCTGACCGCCATTTATATCTATGTTCTCTAGTTTTTGGCTCTTGTTTGATATTTCATGAATAAATCTCTGATTCTTTTTCGTTCGTTAGAATATAAAGCTGATTAATTTTTCAAAAGTTTCACACACTTCCCTTCGTTTTATAACATTAAGGATACTGAAACGATTTTTGGATATTTTGGATGCTTTTGCCATTTTAAAATGATGAATAATTAGATTTCTTACAGAACCTTTTTTTTTTAATTTGTTGCGCCTTACTATGCTCACTTCAGATATGGTGATATATTTCGGTAAACAAGGAATAATTTTCAAATGCAAGTGATAATTCTGGTGATGTATTTTCGTTTCTGACAAAAAGAAACAAACAAACAGTAAACATTGTCGAAATATCTCACCAAAACGTTTCAAGTATCTACATTATTACGTAGATTACTGATAACACTTTTTGAATAAATTATTTTATTACAAAGAATATTTTGATGATATTATTTCATAAGAAGCCAGGCTTAAAATAGAAAAAATTTTGGGGGCTGTGTTTCAATATTTTATACAAGTTGTATGGGAATAAATTTCAAAAAAATAAAAATTCGAAAATAAATGTGAGCCACTGTGATAATTTTTTTATTTTTTTCCGGTAAAATAATAAACTAAGTTAAAAAACTTTTTTTTTACAATGGAACATACTTTACAATTTTAAATCATGAAGAAATACATTTGAGATTAAATTACAAAGGAATACTTCACGTATAATTATTCGCATAAAGTATTCCTTTTTATAATACTTGCATAAAGTAGAAATATAATTTATAATACCTTATGCATTGAGATTACTTCTAAATTATGAAGGAATACTTTATGCTTAATTATTTCCATAAACTATTCCTTTATATATTCGCATAAAGTAGTCTCAATGCATAAAGTATGATAATTATAATTATGCATAAAGTATTATAAATTATATTTATACTTTATGCATAACTATAATTATCATACTTTATGCATTGAGACTACTTTTAAATTACTAAGGAATACTTCATGCATCATTATTTGCATAAAGTATTCCTTTGTATACTACCTGCATATGAGATTACTTCTAAGTTATGAAGGCCCACCAGCGGCCGAGCGGTAAAGTCGCTGAACACTGGTAGTTCGGTCCGAGGTTCGAATCCCGCGAACGGGCTGGCTGCATGGACGTTTTCGTGGTTTTTCCCCATGTGTAACGTGTATACGAGCCAGTTTCCTTAGAAAGTCCTCCACGAAGGCATCCCTCCTCTTAGGCAGATAGCCCTCGAGGCTTTACCATAATCACACACACACACACTTCTAAATTATGAAAGAATACTTTATGCAGAATTATTTGCATATAATACTTGCATAAAGTATACTAAATATAGTTTACAACACTTTAGCATAATTATAATTATCGTACTTTATGCATTGAAATTACTTTTGAATAATGAAGGAATACACTATGCATAATTATATACTTTACGTACTGAGAATAGAAATATATTATGCATAATTATATGTAATGCATTGAGAATAAAGCAGGAATGCCTTCTAAAGGTATCATTACTTTTTCTTATGGGCTCCAATGTTTTCGGTAGGATTTTCTATAGAGCTGAGTTTAACGAATGGTTTTTATTTGTTAGACTAAAATCTATTAATATCAACTGAATATTAAAAATGAGTAAGAGTACCTAAATTTCACTCTAGGTGAAAGCATCAGTAAAACATGGCAGTTGTTTATAATATTCATAGTAACAAAAGATCATAATTTTTAAGAATAATTTTAAGCATCGAAAGCAAATATAACATTTTTTTAAAGAGGTAAAACACTAATATTCTGCAGAAAATAGAATGACCAACTAAAAAGATAACTTAGGGTAACTGGTATAACATGTCAGATACGGCATGGTGGTCAAGGGAACCTGAATATAAAATTCGGTTTTAATTCTACAAAGATGCCATGATCCGAAAATGTTCTTATTTAATGTATATTTATATAGATATAAACATTTATTTAGGTAAAGGTTCCTATAAGAAACATTATCTTTCTTAAATAGATAATTTTTATTATTTATTTTTGGAAATAATAATCTTTTATTTTAACAACTCCTCTGTAAACGCCTATGTTTTAAATTATATCTCAACATGTTCGTAATATCCGCTACATAAATTTTTCAATCGCGTTAAATAAATTTAAAAAAAATATTCTGAAATAGTTTTAAATGTATAAATACTGAAGTCACTCAGTTGTTTTCCCAATATATGCATTATACCTATAACTAACTCGCATATAATTCAAATTTATTCATTCATTCATTAATTATAGAGCAAATTTTTGTGTTAAAAATATTTTAAAACAGTTCGAATTTCTTAAAAATTGTCGTCTGCTTCAGAAAGCATTTTCTAAGGAGAATTTTATTTAAAAATCTTATATGCTGTTTTAACAAGTGTCTATAACTGTCATCACACAGAGTCTTAGTATTTTGTTTTGAAATAATTCCATGATGTGTCGTCTGCTAAATATAACCTTTTTTTAAAAAAAATTTTATCCTTTTTCCCTCGCCCTGTGAGTCAGAGAAGTTTGGATCAGGTGCCAAGAAGTCCTAACTGAATAACGCAATTAATTTGATGTTCTAAAACTTCATGAAACGACATATGTCATCCACAACGAATTTTTAATGTTTATTTTCCAGTGACATAGTTAAATTTTACCTGTTTTTGCGCAGTTGCGTTAGAAACTTATTAGTGTCACGAAATGTCGGACATAAATTTATGCTTCCCTTATTTTAAGTATTTGAAAAGTTTTTGTTTGTTTTTTTAGGGCATATTCGAATAAAACGGCAACATGTCTATCAAATCAACAACCATGTCTTTAAGTAAAGGTAAGATTTTATGTTACATACTTGTTAACTATAGCTGGTTAATATTAAAAAAAATGTGTTGCTTGTCCAAGCAAAACATTGTATTAACGAATTTTAGTTGGATTGTTTTATAGTTGTGAAGAAATAAGAAATAAGAGATCACTAAACTATTTGTGCTTAATTTAATGATTGTGTTTTAAATTTAGTTTAAATGAAAATATTTTAAATAATAGTTTTTATTTAATTTGTAATTAATAATTTTCATTTAGTTTGCAGCTTGTCAAAACAAACAAAGAATGTTGTTTTGTGTGTATAAACGCTTTCGTTTATACACAAGTAAATGAAAAAAAAATATATATATATTATTTTGGGAATGAAAGTAATTTGATTGGCAGGCTATTAAAAAATTGTTGAAAATATTTAAAACACATTTTACTTTTATATGTGCAAGTAAAAGTTTTTTAATAGTTTCTTTATTTATAGAAAACTTAACGAAAACTTTTTACTTCCGTGTTCGAAGTAAAGGTAATTTTGTACTCACGAAAAATTTCAGATGTCATAATTCCAACAAAATATCCATTTTGACCACTCTCGAATTAATTTAAACGCTTTTTGTGCGTGACATCTATACGCACGAACAGAATAGAGTATCTGCATGCAAAGCTGTAAAATTATCAAGAATTTAAAAGTTTAAGTAGCACCAGGCCCAATGAGGTCGCCACTTTTTTACATTTGAAATTCTTATTAGAATAGGCAGCGGGAACACCAACTTCACGGTCTCTTTGCCCAGTGGGACCAACCATTAACTTTCAGTTTTGTGTATCGAAAATTTTTTCTTCCTGCCCGTTGGCCGAATTCTTTGCTTTCTCCTAAAAACTCTTAATTTTAATTGTTAAAATTGTTTTTTTTTAACAGCTTTTAAGTGTATTTAATGTTTCAGTTTTTCTGTTTTTTACAATTAAACGAAGATTTTCTAGTTTTTATGTATTTCTGCCTTAACGCGAAATGAGAACGTACTTGATTGAATGAGAAATATATCTCTAATGAAAATCGAAGAATTAAGTTGAAATGGAGTGCAGTAAAAAATAAATAAATAAATAATAAATAAATAAAAATAAAAATAAATGTGCATACTTTAATAGGGCTTACAAGGAAATCAATAGTGTACACTTCAGTGTTTTTGAAGTCATAATTAAACATTTTATTAAAATTTTACGTAAAAATCAATAACAAATTTTACTATCATTCTCTGCTTTACGTTTATGAAACTTCTCTCAAACCTTCTTTTATTTCTAAAGAAGTTGGACTAGTGACGCGGAAATTGTTACGAGCTATATATAGAACGAGAAACACCGAGTTACCTTACTACGTTGAAAGACTTTTCTTGCTCAGAAGCTTTACTTAGCGTAACTTTTTTTGCTTGCATTTTTCTTTTTATTTGCACGTTATTCCTTTCAGTTACATTTTTCAGTGAAAGAACATCGGTTTATGCTTCTAACTTTTCACCAATATGAGATAATTAGAAAAAATAAATAATAATAATAATAATAATAAATTCGGAAAGCTTTCAGATTTTATATTACGTCCATAGGCGCGTTTTTTAACGTTTTGTATGTTACGATTAATTATTAAATATCATGTTCTTCGCAACTAAACCATAAAATTCATTGCAACAGCAATACCACAAAATATTTGAAAGAGCATAGCTTTAGAATTTCCGGTACACAGTCTCGCGTGCTGCAGAAAAAAAAGTCCCCCCCTTACAGTGCTGCCATTGCTCGCTTTGAAATCCATGAGTTAATAAAAAATTCTTTAATGTTTGACAAAATATGAAATCGATAATAGAACACAAATTTCAAATTAGGGCTTCCAGATGTCAATATTCGTTGAAGGATTACGTTATTCAAATTTTGGTGGCTCCAGGTACCGTTGTTTTATCACAGTACGAGAAATATACATACATTTATACAGATTCTTCATTATTTAATTTCTTTGAATGTAACACAGGGAGATAATATTTAGTGGCAGCAATTTGTAAAGTGAAACGCGTTTCACTTTACAAATGTCCGCGGACATTTAAAATTTTCAATGCAAAATGCAAAAACGAAATTAATTGACCTTCTGGGCTAATTAAGTTCATTTTTTTTTGTTTAATAACAAAATATATGTAATGATAATATGAAGTAAATTGCATTATCGTCTGGAATTTTCAGTTCAGTATATAATCTATGTAATTGAATTGTGAAGAATCTATATGTATGTATGTTCTTCGCGTTGTGGAATAATGGTAGCACTTAAACAAACAAAATTTGATTACACGTAGACCACCAGCCGACCATACACTTAAGAAACCGAACTTTGAATTTGTTTTTTATTTAATTCATATTTTGTGCGAATTGAAGGAAATTTTATTAAGAAATTCAGAACTTTAAATATGTTTCCACTGATTGAAATAAAAAAGAATTAGGTCCGGCGCTCTAGTACGTTGTCATTCGGGGAAATGTAAGATAATCTTTCAAATTTAATCTAGCAAACTCAGCTATTTAAAAGCAAAGTTGACACTGTGGGAAGTGGGACACTGGCACGTCCATGCGACTGGGTGTTGCCATTTATTTAACTTTCATATATAATCTGCCTTGTACTGATTAAGAAGTTAAACGATTTTAAAAACAGTCAACGCAATTTCCTACCTGTTCTTATTGGTTAGTAGCTGGACCCGTGAAATGGATTCATTAAAGTTATCACGTACAGAAGGTGTTTATACATTTTTAGAACAATTTCGATAAAGAATTAGAAAACAAAGGAAGTGTTTGAAAATAAATATTTCTGGCAACTGCTCATTGCAAATACTAAGCGGTTGTCAGAAATTTTTATTTCGAAACATTTGCCTTTTTTTTTAGTCCAAAGGGCGTTATCCCAGAAAGGCTATTAATTTCGTTTTTTCAATTTTCGTCGAAAACATTCCACTTTTGAAATTGTTGCCACCAAATATTATCGCCCTGTGTTATATTTAAAGAAATTAAATAATGAAGAATTTGCATAATGTATGTATGTTTCTCGCACTGTGATAAAACAACGGTAGTTAGAGCCAACAAATTTTGAATAACGTAACCCTCCACCGAATATGGGCATCTGGAATCCCTAATTTGGAATTAGGTTTATTTTCGATTTCATATTTTGTAACAATTTAACGAATTTTTGATTAACAAACTCAACGATTTCAAAGTGGGAAGTAGCAACACTGTTCGGGGAAAAAAAAAAAAAAAAAAAAAAAAAAAAATCTTCAGCGTGCGAGACTGTGTATCAGAATTTTTAAAGATATGCTCAATTTGAAAAATATTTTGCCATATTGCTGTTGAATTGAATTTTATGGTGTGGAAAACATGATATTTAATAAATAAAAGCATCTCACAAAATGTTGAAAAAACGCCCTTTGGGCGTAATAATATAAAATCTAAAAGCTTTCAGAATTATTATTATTATTATTATTATTATTATTTTTTGTCTAGCTTGTTTTGATATTTATTAATTTTATCTTAATAGACTTAAATTCAGTAAAATGTTCCTTAAATTAGATATTATTATATATTCAATTTTATACATGTTTAAAAGTTGCCAGTTATTTACTTCAATAGAATTAATTTTTCTTGTTTGATTTTAATGTAATTAATTACTCTAAATTAAAATTTATTCGCAAAGGAATGAATTAATATTCTATAGATGCTGAATTCTAGCAATAATTTACGCGACATATACTGAGTGATATTTGAGAGATACTGAATTGACATATTTATATTGATATATTTTGTATGACATATAAGTGACAGATAGACAAAATAGACAGATGTTTTGTTTTGCACTCGCTACATCTTTCTGCCCACAGGACGAAATATCAAGCTGAGGTACGAAAAGGCATATAGAGGAAAGAGAAATTGGTTCGAGAGGAAAAATATTCTGTTATCATTTGAGACGAAATTTTTTAAGGCCAGATAAAGAAAGGTATGATTATAAATTAAAAAGAGAATACATGAAAAAAGTAAAAATAATCCAGACTATATTAATAAAACATATTACTGTCGAAAGCTAGCTACATTTGTGGTTATTACGGTTTTGAAAACTCAGAAAGTGAAAACTGCAGGCATTTATTAAAAATTTCACCTCTTTAGGCTGTTAGAGGACCATATGAAATTAAATTGTGCCATCTGTGGGGAAGAGGAATAATTTTTTGCCAGGTAATTATAGCCTTTTGGAAATATTGGTTTACAGAAGGTGAAAAAGACAAACAAAACCGACTTAAGACATGTGAAAAGTATAAGATTGCAAAGCATGAAGATTGCAAGTTACCAATACTTGAAATTAATAAGAATATTTGAAGATTCATAAATACTAATAAAAGAACAGAACAAAACCGAACTAATAAAATCTGAAAAGCAAAAGGCTACAAAAATATAATTACAGTTACACTTTGATATTGGTGATATTACACATTTTGATTGCACAAAAGTTTGATTTTAATAATTGTGTCGGCAGTGCTTGATGTATTGAGGCATATTTTGTTTAAAATTTGGCACAAAACTGAGTTGATTTAATTCTTAAAGCGCCTCGTTCAAAATGTTCAGCGTGTTTCTTGTTTCCCATTCTGTTGCTGATGTTGTGGCTTATCTTATTTGTGTGACAGTAGCATCAGAGTAAGCCCACGAAATTCATCGTGGCAGTGCACGATTGCACCTGTCGTGGCTTGCGCACCACAGAAGTGACAGTACGACTTTGCTCAGTTCCGCCCCCTCATTTTGATGGAGAGCATCGCGAGAGGGCGGGTCCGAGGGTCGCCCACCTCGTCTTCCTTTACAATCAGCCTCTCGAGAATACTTTTGGCTAGCCGCATATTTAGAGTGCCCCATGCCGCGCAGACACTATACATTGTCAAACATCTGTGTCTTCACCGGAATTCGAATCCGGGCCCTTAGGTACGGCAGTCAGAATCGCTAACCACTCTCCCGGTTGGGAAGCAGTTACCCATT